TTCATATATGTATGCAATGTATCTTGATGATATCTATCCTTATTTCCCTCAGTACAACTCCCCCAAGGAACCCCATCACATCTCTTTCCCAACTTCACACTTTATTTATTTATTTATTTATTTATTTATTTATTTATTTATTTTATTTACTTTGTTGTTTTGAGACAGGGTCTCCCTGTAGCCCCAAATGGCCTGGAACTTGGCATGGGGACCAGGCTGGCCTGGATCTCAGAGATCTGCCAGTTTTTGCCCTCAAAGTACTAGCATTAAAGGTGTGCATCACCTCATCTGGCTTGTTTTGTTTGTGTTTTGAGATAGGGTCCCACTGTGTAGCTCTGGCTGGCCTGGAATTTACTACATAGCCCAGGCTGGGCTCAAACTTGTATTCCTCCTGCCTCTGCCTCATGATTACAGACATGCACCACCATGCCCAGCAATCTCTAGAGGACAATTTCATTCCCATATTGGAGCTTTGGGTAACTACATCCTACATTCTCTACCACCATTGGGCTGCTGGTCTCCCTGGATTTTCTGCCCACTGCTCACCTCTCCAGTAGCAGACACCCTCATGTTTTACTTAGCCCTGCAGCACCAGCTCACGCTCCCACTGCCCCCCAGCCCTCATGCCCCTTTCTTCAAGGTCCAGCCAGGCCCAGTCAGGCCCCTGACTCCAAAGGACCACTTGAGTTGCAACTAGACCTGACCTCATCATCATCACTGAGTTCCCATTGTCCTGAGCCCAAGCCCTATGCTGGACCAGCTTGGGCACTCTCAAGGAAGCCCTGCTTGCCTTTCCCCAAAGAGGCAATTTCTAGAAGACAAGGCCCCAGAAAATCAGGCTTGGGTTTTTCCCTCTCTCAGACTGGGGACCCCTGAGGACAGGCCCTGATTCCCCCTACTTTCCTTCAGATTGAGAACTCTTCGAGGACTGACCCAGAGTTGCCTCTCCCACCTCTGCACCTCACTGTGGAAATTTCTACCTGCAGTCCCCATTCTGCAAAGCTTTCTCTACAGCTGGGGTCTCACGAGCCTCTGCAGGCGTGGTTTTGGCAGGCCATCTCTGGCTCTGGCCTTGGAGATATGCCAGACACTTTGGCTTGTGGTACTGGCCTCTCCTCTGGGACAGTGAGGTCCAGAAAGCACACCCGGAACCCTACTTCTGACCTCGCAAGGGCTGCCTCAGAACTCTGTCTCCATGGTGCTACTGGCAGGAACAAGGATGCTATTCTGGGCTGTGTGTAGACTTGACTCAGTGGCAAGGGCCAAACCCCTGCCCTACTGACCTCTCCCCTGGAGCACTTACAGCAGCACTCAGGGCTGCCCTGGGGAGGGCTGAGAGGCCAGCTCTAGACTGAGGAACCAGAGACAGCACAGCCCCAGTCCAATTGCCGCTTGAGCCTGTGACAACGGTGATAGAGGAACAAGACTGAGACCAGCGTTAACGTTAACTGAGATGCCCTCAAAGCAGAGGCTGAGAAACATAAGACACTTCAACTAAGTGAGTATGGGCAGGTGGGGACAGGGTGGACTCTTCAGGTACAAGTCCAACAGGGCCACTCCCTGGAGACCACACAGGGACAGGATGACTATGGAATTGTTTGGGAAAGCAGGCCCAGCTGGGAGTTGAAGCATGGCTTTCTGCTCTGGTTCAGCCCTGTGTGACTCTATGATATGGGCATATCTCACCTTCTCCCTGGACAGCGGTAAATTGCCTGTGGCTTGAGAGGAGCAGAGATTGGGAAGATGTATTGGGCTAGGCCATTGTCAGGGCCTGGTGGTGGGAGGAGGAGACAGCTGAAGATCAAGTTCACTAGACTGGGGCAGAAGGGAGGAGGTCAGAGGCAGGTTAGAGATGGGTCTGCCGCTAATTTCTCCCCTGGAGTCCTCCTCAGAGGCTGGGCCGGGTTGGCAGGTTTCTGCCTTCAGGGTTGGGGATGTGAATTGGTGCTGCAGCCAGAGGGAACTGGGTAAAGACTGTGGGCATCCAGGATGAGGCAAACCCAAGGGTTACCTTTCTGCTGGCAGTGTGAGAAGTAGGTGTGATACAGGGGAAGTTTTAGGAAAGGAGGGAGGGTGGATTTTATGGTATCATACTGTCCAAAGGTGGGAGGGTGGCAGACCTGGGAAGGCTAAGGGGACCTCTGAAGTGCCTGATCCTGAAGTCTGGGTCCTGAGGTCAGCACTGATAGAGGTAGTGGTCTCTCCACATTGGCTGAAGCATAGCTGTCCCTCTCCCTTCCCTCCAGTTTGGCTGGGTTGAGAGAGGTGACATTGGCAGGTGCTTCTCTGCACGAAGAGAAGACTAAAATCTGTTGGGAACGTAGGGCTAAGTTCTTTGTCCCCCAGTCCTAGGTTCTTCTCTGGCTCCACATCATCTACAGTCAGAAAGACAAACTATGTCTCAAACAGACAGGCAGAAGCGGTAAGCACCCCATCCCATGCCCCTATTCCAGCCCCTGTCCTTGACCCAATGCACCCCAGTGGCCTCCCTGTCCTTGACCCAGAGCACCCCCGCGGCCTCCCTGTCCTTGACCCAGAGCACCCCCGCGGCCTCCCTGTCCTTGACCCAGAGCACCCCCGCGGCCTCCCTGTCCTTGACCCAGAGCACCCCCGCGGCCTCCCTGTCCTTGACCCAGAGCACCCCCGCGGCCTCCCTGTCCTTGACCCAGAGCACCCCCGCGGCCTCCCTGTCCTTGACCCAGAGCACCCCCGCGGCCTCCCTGTCCTTGACCCAGAGCACCCCCGCGAGCGGCCTCCTGTCCTTGACCCAGAGCACCCCAGCGGCCTCCCGGTCCTTGACCCAGAGCGCCCCAGTGGCCTCCTGTCCTTGACCCAGTATACCCCAGCAGCCTCCCTGTCCTGCTCCCATTCTTTCCCTCAGGGAAGCTGCTCCCCTGGATTCCCTCTTTCCCACGTACTCAGAAGCCCATGGGGCCCCAGAAAGGCCTCTTCCACCTGTCTCTGATGCCCCATAGCACAACCAAGTCCAGAGTGGGCCCTGGGGTGAGGGAAAGCTTTGAAGACCTTGATGAGGGTCAGGATTGGTGAATGGGTTCTGACTGACCCTGTGTGGATGGCACACAGATGAGCTGAACCCACCACCTCTCAGACTCTGGGGTGCAGCTCTCTTTGGGGTGAAACGAGAACCAAAGTCTTTGCATTGACCATGTCTCAATTGCCTTTACCTCTCTGTTCCCCTGCTCTGAGCCTCACTTTCCCAGTCATGCCAACTTCCTTTGCTTTCTGCCAACAAGCTCAGTCCGTCAGTAACCATTCTTGCTACCTGAAACTCTCTCCTCACACTTGTGCATGGGCTGACTCCTTCAACGCCTCCATTCATTTTGAATAAGGCTTCTCAACGAGGCTTCCCCTAACTGTCCTACTTGAAGTCAACTCCATGCCCAGTCCCTGCATTCCCAGATTCCCTTCTTTTGCCTTATATTTTCTTGTAGGACTTACTACCTCCTAATCTGCAAACACATTACCTTTCACCGCCGTGAGCTCAGTGAGAGCATGGATGTTTGCCTGCCAGCACCCTCTTGGTAGACTTCCCTCTGCTCTGATAACTATTGTCTCTAGCCGTGTCTCCCTCCTTGGCTCTAGACCCATTTCCTAAGGCCTGCTGGGGTTGCACGTGCAGCTCAGATCCCAGTTGAAACTAGCCTCTTCCAGTTCCCACAAGCCCACTCTTCCTCCTGTGGGCTCAGGTCAGCCAAGGGCCCTGTTTTGCTCAGTTGCTCCAGCCAGAAGTCAAGGCTATGTCCTTGAAGTTTCCCTCTCCATCATGGCTAACATCTAGTCACTGCAGTTCTAATAGACTAGACTGCATGCCTCCCACCATTGATTCTACCACCACTTTTCCTCAAGCCTCATCCAGCCATACTGCCCTGATCTTTCTCCTCCAGACCCAGTACCGTCCCCAACTGCCAGTTCCGTACCTCCCTAACAGACATTGGTAACTGAAACTCATCTGTTCTTCTGTTCATTGAATTGAAACTATTGAACAAATGTTTATCAAGTTCCAGGCACTGTAGGGAGCTTTGAAATCAATTTGGCTAAGAGCAAGAAGTAGATTCCACAGTTCTCATTCATTTGGCTAACGTGTATTGCACATCCTCGATGGGCCTGGCACTGAGGATAAACTGGGAAATAAGATCCTGTCCCTCCTTTCCCTCTCTCCTGCTTGTTCATTCATTCATTCATTTGTGCATTCATTCACTCACAAGCATCTCTGTTCTGGCCTGGCTGCAGAGCCCAGTGTATTTTGCTGACCGCTCCCCTCATCTTCGGGAGAACCTAGTATTTGTTTCCAGGCTTTTGTGCTGTTCACAGAGCCCAGCACCAGACTTTGCCATACATCATACACCTTTCAGAGTGCCTCACTGTTCCCAAATCATGGTTTGTGACCCCAAGCTCCGGCTCCTGAGAGGACACAAGTAGACAGACACAACTGAGCTCCACTTTCCAGCCTGCTCTCGCCCCACCTGCTTCTCCTCAGTAGCTCCTTACCAATGCAGACTGCACTTTCACTTCTCCACCCGCCCACTCTGCAAAGTGATCACATTTGTGCACCCCTCCCTCTTGTTCAGTCTGGACTGGAAAGAAGAAGAGGCCTGGCCAGGCCATCTTTCCTCTCCATGTCCCTATGGCTCTCAGGTGTCTGCCAGCCCAGCTGTCCCCACTGCCCTGAGCAAGAGAAGGTACAGGGGGAGAAGCTACTGGGTTACCCATTAACTCAGTCATGAGTTGTAGAGCCAACGGGCAAGAGATACTCTTGAGTCTTCTTTCCGTTGCTGGCTTGGGCTGCTGCTTCAGGTCCACTCAGAACCCCATGATGGACTCTGGGCCTATGCTCCGGAGGATGCAAGCAGTGCTGCAGAGGGAGATGGTGCGAGAATTCCTGGCCGAGTTCATGAGCACATATGTCATGATGGTGAGTGAGTGGGTGGCATCGGGTGGGTGGGGCCTAGCAAAGGGCAGTCCCTAAACCCTGTTGACCCCGTGGGTCTTATCATTCCTTCCCCTGCCTCTGAGCTGGAAATCTGGGATAGCAAAGGAAAGCAGAGAGAGGCCTTTCTCATCAAGTCTTTTCAGGACAGAAAAGGCTTGTGATATGCCAGGGTAGAGTAGAATCATGGGTTGGAGGATGAGGAGAAAAGGAAAGCCAAGGGTAAAGAGATGAAGGAGTCAGGCATGGTATGCATCTGTAATCCCAGCCCTTGGGAGACTGAGGCAGGAGGAATAAAGCAAGTCTGAAACTGGCCCAGTGTATGTAGGCCAGCTGGGGTTGCATTGCAAGTACTGTCTCAAAACCAAACCAAGCCTCCCAAACAAAGAAAAACAAGAAACTCATGAAAGAGCTGGCCATGGCGGTGCACACCTGTAATCTGAGGTGGAGGCAGGAAGACTGAGAGTCTGAGGCCATTCTCCTGGTGCTACATAGGAACATAGCAAGTTCTAGACCAGCTTTGGGCTATGTAATGGGGGGGGAGAAAGAGAGAGAGAGCGGGAGAGAGAGATTTTTGAGAATGAATCAGAGGGGAATGGGGAGACATTGAGGGCTATCAAGCAGGGGAATGAGGAGCCATCAAGATGACTCAACAGATAAAGGTGCTCAGTGTGCACGCCTGATGACCTGGGTTCATTTCCCTAGAACTCATGTGAAGGTGGAAGGAGAGAACTGATTCCACAAAGTTGTCCTTTGATCTCCACTATGCACAGGGTGTGTATGTGCATATGTCTCACCCTCACCCATCCTACACACATACAATTTTTTAAAAGCGGGAATGATATGGTCATATTTAGATTTTATTTTATATTTTTATTTTCCTTTTATGTATATGAGTGTTTTGCCTGCATGTATGTAAGTGCACCAGTGTCATGCAATGCCTACACAGGTCAGAAGGCGGCATTGGATCCCTAGAACTGGAGTTATGGATGGCTGTTAGCCACCAAGGAGTGCTGGAAACTGAACCTGGGACTTCTGCAAGAGCAGCCAGTGCTCTTAGCTGCTGTCCCATATCTCCAACCCCAAGATTTAATTCTTTATGTAAAAATAAACAGTATATCCATCTCATTAGTATACACATTTGTTTTAAAATTTTATGGGTTTTAAGATTTAATAAATGGTAAAAATCCTATGTATCTGAAAAAGAGAAAAACATAAAACAAAAAACAAGAACTAAAACGTCTGGTGTGGTGGTGCATGCCTTTAATCCCAGCTCTTGGGAGGCAGAGGCAGGTGGGTCTCTGTGAGCTGTGAGTTCAAGGCCAGCCTGGTCTACATAGTGAGTTCCAGGCCAGCTGGAGCTACAGGGAGACCCTGTCTCAAAAACTAAAAAAAAATTAACAAAAAGAATTGTTTTTAAATTTTTAAGATTATCTGTAAATGTTTGATTTGAATACCTAGTTTATATACCTATATAGCCAAGGTTGGGTAGAATTTTCTCAAACGAAAAGGGATGAAGGGGTGAAGGTGCACCTGCTCCTGCTCAGCACTGGCTAGCTCTCAGCACTGGCTAGCTCTCAGCACTGGCTAGCTCTCAGCACTGCCTAGCTCTCAGCACTGCCTAGCTCTCAGCACTGCCTAGCTCTCAGCACTGCCTATCGTACACAGAGGGGGTTTGTTTGTTAGGAGAATGCTCAGGACAAAGAGTTAAGGAGCCATCTCTCCAGCACCATATTTAGATTTTAGAAGGTAATTGTGGCGCCTAAATTAGACAGGGATGGCTGGTGGGGGAGGAGCCAGTTGAGAGGCAGTTGTCATTATGGAGGGTGGAGAGAGGGTTGGTGATGAAGAAGGCAGATGCTTGAAGAGCTGTAGATGGATCAAGGAGACTGTTCAAGCCACAGATGGAGGGTACACTCTGGAGCATAGGCCCAGAAGTGACATTGATTTTATACAGATGAGATGGCAGTGGAGAGATCTAGGGGTGTGTAGAGAGGGGCACTGGTGCGCACAGGGGCTTAGGCTGGAAGGAAAGAGGTGAAGTCATTAGGATATGGAGGGTGGTTAGAAGAATTGTCCAGAGAGAATTAATGTACTTGGGAGGGGCTCTGGACACCTGGGTTTTTATCCTGATCCTCATACTGAGTCAACCCCTGACCTCAAGAAGGTCTCTCACTGGCTCATAGCCTGGCTCCCCAGTATCAAAGTGTGTTGAATCCAGCCTGCTGAGTTTGGGAGTTGGTTTTGAATTCTGGCTCTGCTGTTTTAGCTGTTTGATGTTCCATGAGCACTTTAGCAGTTCAGAGAGTTAGTTTCCTTGTTGGCAAATGTGAACAGTAACATTGAGTTGGCAGACTTACACGCAGGCCAAATGCTAGCGCCCAGCACACATATGGTGCATATACATAGCTGGTTCCTTGTTATTTTGGCAGGGGCTCACAGCCACTCTTTCTCCCTTCATCTCTCCCCTTACCTCATTCCTTACCTGCTTTGGCTCCTGAGCTGTGGAGGGGGACAGTCTGAGCTTGTCCCTCCTTAAGCCAGGGCAAAGTAATTCATTTATGACAAGACATTCCAGTCCTCTGAGGGCTGTTAAACCTTGGAATGTTGGGGGTGGGAGGGTGTCTCTTTGGAGAACTCCTAGGGAAAGCAAGAACTGACCACATGGTTTGACACATGCCTACACCTGCCTTATTCTTTTGTTTGTGGTGCTGGAGATCACACCTAGAGCCTTGTGGATGCTAGGCAAGTGCTCTACCACCGTATAACCGAGTCACACTGCCCTCATGCTTTAAATTTTTTTTACTTAGAAATTATTTTTTATTTTGTCATTTGGCATGGTGGTGTACGCCTTTAATCCCAGTACTTGGGAGGCAGAAGCAGGTGGCTCTCTATGAGTTTGAGGCCAGCCTGGTCTACACAGTGAGTTCCAGGCCAGCTGGGGCTACAGGGAGACCCTTTCTCAAAAACATAAAAAAAAGAAATTGTTTATTTTGTGTGCATGTATATGAACACGAACATGTTGCTGTGTGTGTATGAAGGCCAGATAGCATGTTGCTGTGTGTGTATGAAAGCCAGATAGCATGTTGCTGTGTGTGTATGAAAGCCAGATAGCATGTTGCTGTGTGTGTATGAAGGCCAGAGGACAGTTCATCAGAGTTGGTTCAGCACCTTTACCTGCTTAACCATCCCACCAGCCCTTATTTGTTTGTTTTTAGACAAGATCTTGCTGTGTAGCCTGGATTGAGCTCCTCCTGCCTCAGTATCCTGAGTGCTGGGATTACAAGTATGTGCCACCATGCTAGGCTTCTTTTTCTTTTATTTAGATTATTATTGAGAAGCTATTGCATACCAAGAACATACAGCACTTCCCCAAGTCCTCACAATGGTCCTGTGAGATAGACACTATTATCATGCCCATTTTACAGATGAGGAAAAGGAGAGGGTCCATGAGTTTAAATCATCTGCTTAAGGTCACACTTTAGATCAAGAACAAATCCAGTTCAGTTTAAAGATGGCACGTTTGCTAAGATCCTAATTTGTTAATTCTCCCTGAGCTAGGGGCAAAGCCCTTGCTTTCAGGCTTTGGGCAATTCAAAATGCTTTCTGGATTTCAGTTTCCCCAACTGTAGAGTGGGAGCAAAAGCATTTGCCACATTGATTTACTGTGAGGATTGAAGAGAAGCAACACTTGTAAAGAGAACTTTGTGAGGCTTAAGCTTACGTAGGACATTGTGTTACTGTTATTTTTAGTTACCAGTCCTGTGCCATTTCAGTTATAGGAAGCTCAGTGAATCACCAGGGTAAAGGTTTTGCCAAAGAAAGGCTAGTATGACCTTGGGCCCATTTACTGCAGCTGGGATGAGGTTGTTGTCCTTGGAGCTGGTTTGCTGGCAGCTGGGGGGACTTTGATGGGCCAGGCTACAGTCACTGATCAGGGAGAGGAGGGGCTGGAGTTATCAGGGCCCTGGATACCCAGCCATACATGTGAGCCATAGGGCAAGGGTTGCAAGCTCCTATACCACAGGGCCCAAAGGACAGGTGCTAAGGACTTTGACTCCTGTATAAGGGTATAGCTGCTCCTGCTCCAGTTGTTGGTTGCCTTGGAGAGTGGCGTGAAGGCCAGTATTCCTTGAGCTGCTCTTCTTCTTCTTTTTTTTTTTTTTTTTTTTTGAGAGACAGGGTCTCCCTGTAGCCCCAACTGGCCTGGAACTCACTATGTAGACCAGGCTGGCCTTGAACCCACAGAGATCTGCCTGCCTCTGCTTCCCTAGTGCTAGGATTAAAGCTGTGCATCACCACACCTGGCTGAGTGTCTCATTTTTTTTTTAAGAGCAGCCAAAAATTCTGGTCTTCAAAACTAGGCTATCCAAACAAGACCTGTGTGCTGGATGGATTAGGGGCATGCACTGCCAGTTGGCAAACTTGACAGTATTGTATCATGTGGAGCTCATTCACTGATTCATTATCATTAGCAAATGGTTTTGAAGCCAGGTATGGTGGTACATGCCTATAATTTCAGCACTCTAGAAGCTGAGGTAGGAGGATTGCCAGGAGTTAAAGGCCAGCCTAGTCAAAATAGAGAGATCCTGTTTCAAATACAACAAAAAAAGTAAATGGTTTAGACATGAGGGGAATGGAAGTGGGCCCTTGGTCTTTAAACACTCCAAGCCTGCCCCTCATGGACCAGTACTCCACCTCATGGACCCACCAGCCTGTCAGGTGGCCTGATCCTACTTCATCATTCAGCCTTCTGCTGCATTCTGTCCTGGACCACAAGTCAGGCTGCCTCTGGTCTCCCCAGTCCCTATCCTGGACTCCTGTGGGGTACATTGAGCCCTGGTCAGCTGCTTTTTTCTACCCTTTTGGGGTTGGTTCACTTTTTAAAAAGAATATTTTAAATTGTGTGTTTGTGTGTGTGTGTGCGTGTGTGTGTGTATGTGTAGGTGTCCTAGTTTGTTTCTTCATTGCTGTGACAAAACACT